AAAGATATACATGTTGTAGGTGTGTTCACACATATTGTTGTTGTTAAATGCTGTCAAGTTGGTTCGGACTCATAGTAACCCTGTATAGGATTTCCAAGGAGCACTTGGTTAGTTTGAACCACCGGCCTTCTGCTTCAAACTGATCCTGCAGTCTAGTGCCTTATCCCACAGCATCACACCAGTACTCATGTATGTATGTGCTTATATTATGGTACATTGCATTACATTCATGACCCCAGTGCCATCGAGTCAATTCAGACTCACAGTAACCCTACAAGGGCACAGTAAAACTGCTCCAGAGCGTTTCAGAGACTAAGTCTTTATGGGAGCAAACAGCCTCATTGTTCTCCCTCAGAGCAGCTGGTGGGTTTGAATTGTTGACCCTGTATTTAGTAGCTTAGTACCTAACGCACAGAATCACCAGATCTCCTTTATTCGATTCATACACACAGAGAGAACTGTGGCTCTGTAGGATGAGCACTGGACTGCAAACAACAAGGTTGGCAGTTCAAGTCCACCAGCTGCACCATGGGAGAAAGATGAGACTTTCTCCTCCTGCAAAGATTTACAGCCTTGGAAACCCTATACAGAGTTGCTATGAGTCAGAACTTGACAACAATTATGATCTTAAACTATTCTGTTGTTACAATTCAAAGGAGTAAAACATGAAGATATTTAAACCAGGTCAAACATCCGTGGAGACAAGCCCTAAAGCTTTATGTCTTACCCATTTTCTGTGACGTTTTCTCTTTGAACACAAGGTCGCATCTCTGAAGGGACTGATTTCATCATTGGGTGGAATAGAGGTTTTCAAAAGCTCTGTGGGACTCAAAATGATCTACAAAATTTCTCTGGATTTCCTTTGAAACAGTACTAGCACACACTTGGGGAACCTGGCAGGTTCGGGTTTCTGTGGCTCACGTGGTCTGTTGACACGGCACCTGCCAACCTCACTGAATGGCCCTGGACGCCACCCACAAGATTACCCGTGCGGATGGATACATAGATAAATCCGATTTTGTGTGGTTCTGTAACCCTCTTGCCTTGTCTGCCTAATTCATGAATATGCCACAACCATGTGACAAACAGCTAAAAATTTAAAATATAATAATAAAACAGTTGTTGTTTGTAACTCCACAGGCACGGTTGCTTCACACGGAGCCTGGAATATAATATGGTCCGTGGGAGAAAGATGAGGCTTTCTACTCCCGTAAAGATTTACACCCTCGGAAACCCTATACAGGGTCGCTATAGGTCGGAACCGACTCGATGGCACATAACAACAACAACAACAACATTCTCAAGGAACTCTGATAGCATAGTGGTTACAAACTGGGCTGCAAACCGCAAGTCAGCAGTTCGAAACTACCAGCTATTCTGCAGGAGAAAGATGAGGCGTTCTGCTCCCGTAAAGATGTACAGCCTCGGAAACCCTGTACAAGGTTGCTGTGAGTCGGAACCGACTCCCACGGCACATAACCACCACCATTATCATGTAAGTTTGGTGTCTGTGCCCCCCAGTGCCCACCTCCCCCATCAGTTTAGTTTGTCCTTCTGTGCTGAAAGCTAGGTGACCAATATTTCAAATACCTGCAGGGTCACCCGTGTAGATAGGTTTCAACAGAGCTTTCAGACTACAAGACTGACTCAGAAGAAAAGAACCTGATGATCTAGTTCCAACAATTAGCCAAAGAGAACCCTGTGGGTCCCAACAGAACTATTTCTGACGAGTACCGGAAGATGCAATGAGCCCTCCAGGTTGGCGGGCCCTCAAAGTATCCAGTGACTGTAGCAATGGGCCCCATCGGCATACCTGTGATTATGCAGGTGTCTCCAGACCAGGCAGTGTTTCGGGGTGACTATGGGTAGGAGCTGATTCAGTGGCCACTGAGAACAAGACAATGATGGCTAGCTATCATTGCTATTCACGCTGGGAGTTACGGTCACCCTATTTGGTGCGTGCACACTACGAACACTTTGTACTGTGGAAACACTCATTTGATTATATTTGCGTATTTACTTATATGGTGCTTCCTGGTAAATATATTTTCTATAATTTAAAGGCATTTTAGCAGATTGTATTGGCACATTCACTTTCTGATGCATATACGAGAGGGCTTCAAAAAATTTCTTGGAAAGAAATTCTGTCATCTTTTCATTTAGTTTGTCCCCAAATTCTCTGAAGCCCCCTTGTATGTGTCACATTACATTAATTTCATTTTCTTTCATTTTGAAAGTATGTGGAACCTCCATGGAATAATTTCTTGTATTTTAGTTTCTTCTAGTAGGAAAAAACACATACACACACACAACAATCGAACCCCCAGTGGAAACTGCTTTTATGCACTGAGACTCCCAAATGCTGCTTTATTTTTATGTACAGACTCTCTGTGGGTGGACTGCTGAGATTCTGGCTCTTGGAAATGTTTTTGAGCCCCAGGGAAACTGAATAGGGGAAAAAAGAGCTAATTAAAAAAGCTGCCATCCGCCTCCTCTAATTAACTTGCTCTCGGCTCCTGAGAGAGGGTTCGGAAATCTGAAAACAAGACAGGCCGGCCGGAAGCAGAGACCATGATGACAGTCTACGGTGGCCCTTGGTGTTTTGACCCAGAAATAGTTTATAGTAAACAGGGGCCACACCACAAAGGGGCTTGCTATGCCTCCCCCTCCCCACACACTTCCTCTCTGCACTCGGGTGGCAGAGAATGGTGGTCCCTTCTGAGCAGGTGTCCTGGCTGGGCAGCTGCAGCCCCAGAGACCTCATTGGAATTCAGCAGCTAGGATCCAAGTGCATCCGGCCCTCCCTGTCGCCTGCTTATGCTGTTGGGACAAAGCAGAGGTCCTTTGTGCTCCAAAGCCAGTCATCACCAGTGTCCAGGGAAGCAGGAGGCCACTGAAGAACTTGCAGTCTTTCCGCCCACCTCTCTTCTGGAGCCGGTAGCCTCAGAATCCCGGGACGCTGTCAGAGAACCTCACAGCACCGTGGTCCCGTGATGCTGACCACGTGTGACATCTAAAGAGACTTAGATCCCAGAGACACCAGCAAGGAAGTCTGGGTGGGAATTTGGGGACAGAGGCTGCACTTCCAGCAGAGATGGCTTTCAGCTCTTGGCAGATGTGGTCCCCGGTGGAGTGGGCGCGGTGGGTGTGGACAGCCGTGACCAGCAGCAGGGACTCTGGTCTCCTAGTCCTTCAACACAGCACTGGAAAGAGGCAAGTTGACTATGTGTGTCCCGATGCATATGGGGTCAGGGCTGGGGTGAGGCACCCAGGGTTCACCAGCTCATTAAAACCCTCGATCTTCAGTTGTGTTTTTCACGCCGGCAAACAGATTCTTCAAAAACTTCAGGTTCCGCCATATGTTGTTGTCAAAGTGGGGATCTTAAATTCTCCCCGTAGACAAAAGCAAGTGCATTCCTATTAATGTGTGTTTGTAAAAGGACGATCTCCCCTGCCGTTTGGGCATGAATTAGGAATTTGCTTATGAAATGTATTCGTGCACAAGCTTTAGAAGCAGCTCTGATGTATCTGTTCTTCCCGTGGGGTCCCTGTGTCTGTTCACAGGGGCCCTGGTTTTTGTGGAGGAGGGTCTTTAAGTTGTAGAAGCATCTTTAAGTTGTAGAAGCATCATGTAGATTTTCAGGAAGGAAATTCATCAGATGACTTGGTTTGGGGGTTCCGGCTGGCCGGGAGGTATTGGGTTGATTCTCTGGGGACCTGCTGATGGTCTTTAGAAGATGGTGACCTCTGCTGAGGGAACCCCCCAACTTTGAGCCTTGATGGGAGCTAAGCTTTCTGCACCGTGGGACTTTGGGGCTCAGTGATGGTACTCCTCCCTGCTCCATCATGTCATTTCCCTGCTGGGACCATTTGTACTCTGCAGTCCTCACCCTGTTCAACTATTGAGATGGGAACTAGGTGGCCAGGCCCCAAAGGCAGCATCAGAGATGGGTCTGACTCAGGACTGTGGACCTTAGTAACAGGAGCAGATTAGGGGAACCCTGGGTGGGGAAGCAGGACATGTTCAGCAAACACATTCCTTCTGGCTCAAAACGGTGTCACCAGCTAAAGCAAGCGATAGAGAAGGCTGGCTTGCCGTCGGCTCTGGGCTTGGTTTCATTTGGCCCAGTGGCCTTCCCTTGGTGCTGGGTAGAGCTGCCTCAGTGGGGTTTGGTCCAATTCCTTGAAAGCAAGTTTTACCTCAAACCAACCAAGAGACCATCCCGGCACTGCTGGGCTCCATGGGCTGTTTGATTCCATGACCAATACATTTTGGGGCTGGCTAGTGTGTTTGTTGTGGGTTAATGTGCTGGACTGCAAGGTTGTTTGAACTGCAGCGTTGGTGGTTCAAGCTCACCAGCTGCTTCTCGGAAACTCTATACAGGGTGTTATGGGTCAGAACTGACTCGATGGCACTTAACAACAAGTGTGTTTGTCCATCATTAGCTGTCATTCCCTCAACAGGCTCCGGCTTGCTGGGGTGAGCAGGAACTTTGAGTAGAGAAAAGGAGAAAGGAAATCAACATGACACGGCATCAGTGGTAACTAGTGTTGGCAGGTGCTATACAGGAAGGCCAGGCCCGAGGGCGAGTTTGTGCTGTGGACTGGGAGGGAAGCAAGTTGGGCCTGCAGCATCGAAGTGGTCCTTGGAACTCCTGAATGCCCTCCTGTCTGTATGACTGCGACGATGACCCAATAGCTTATGCCAAAGTTTACCACATGGCCTTGTATTGGCCACGAAGGGGAGCCGTGCATTCCAAGGAGAGCTGAGTTTAAAGGCAGTATCATTTGGGCACCATCAAAACTGGCGATGTTGAGATTCACTCTTGTGACTCATGCTATACAGTGACCTTCCCCGAGTCCGTCCCGGAACTGTCTGACTGAACATCGGTCAGGGGTCGGAGACTGCACCATGCCCAGCAGGATAGGCAGGTGGTTCTTCTGAGCAAACAGGTGTCTACCCCTTTCTAACCTTGGCTGTCTCCGTTTCTCTCCATCAGGAGTTCTGATTCGGAAGAAGCATTCGAGACCCCAGAATCGACCACCCCTGTCAAAGCTCCCCCGGCCCCACCTCCCCCTCCCCCTGAAGTCATCCCTGAACCGGAGGTCAGCGCCCCGCCACCTGTGGAAGAACCAGGTAACACGGGGGTCAGGAGCTCCCTGGGAGTGGTGCAGCCGCATGGCTGTGAGCCCAGGAAGAATCCAGGGGTCTTCTGGGACATACCTGGAAAGGACAGTCCAGTCTCATGGATACCCTGCCCACTTCTGGGAGTGCTTGCCACGTCTGATTGCTTTTGATTTTGGCTTTGTACCATCTGACTGCCGTCCTCTTCAGCAAAGCACAGCACAGCCTCTGTTCTTGCGCACACACACACACCTCTTTCTGGGTGACAATACCTACCTTTCAGGGAAGGGCCTGGAGAAGTTAATTACCGCTAAGCCACAGTCTTTGGGAACCTTGCAGTACATGGGTCGGCATCTGAGCAGCGACATAACACTTCTTTGAAAATACAGTGAGCATGAATGCGTGGAAGCTTACACAATCAGATTGGAACTGTGTCTGCTTAAAGCCCCCGGTCTGGGCACTGCAAAGATCTGCGTGACAAGCTGTCATTGTTCCAGAAGCCACTCCCTGGCCCATTCTGTAGATTGGCATGAGTGGGAGGTCAGGGAAGGCCCATGCTGAGGACCGAGGGAAGGAAGGAGAGGGATGAAGGGCTGTTGCTTGCTTCTGCACGGCACTGACCCTAGCTGAAAGTGCCCAGAGAACCGTGGAAGCAATAAAGACCTTGGCTGTAGCTACAGATGTGGTTTTTCCTCCAGGAATCCTAACATTTTACAGAACAATCTGTCATGCTGTGAGCCATCTCAGTGTGAGGGATGTGGGGATGGCAAGATGCTGGTGGGGTGTTGGGAAGGACAGGATTCACCTTATAGAAGCCTGATTGTCTTACCCCTAAAACCAAGAGGCTGACTTACTGGACTCCAAGGTCCCTCGGTTCTGGCCTTCCTTGGCTCTATGATTGGAATACCTGGCTGTCGTTACAGTGACTGTGTTATTAGAACTCACATATGAACCCGAAGGTGAGGGCCTTTCACAGACCGGTCAGGGACAGAGACAGCGTGGTGTCACAGGGGCATGTGCAGGAGTTGGGGGCCACCTTTGTGCCTGGGGTAGATACTTGTACATAGCACCCAACTTCAGCCCAGCAAGAATGTCCATTTTAGGGAGGTACCACTGAGGCTCAGAAGGACCAAGTTACCCTCCTGGGGTTGAATAGCACGTCAAAGGATGAGGCGGCCACACACACACTCATGAGCTCTGTTAGTCGGGCTGCTAACCGTGTGTGTCACATGAGCCACAGGTACCAGGAAAGGCCAGGCCTTGTCACCAGAAAGGGATTTCCGACCGTTAGATGATCTGGGGTCTGCCAATGTGTCCCATCATAACCAGGATTCCAATACCCCTGAATTGCCCCATGCTAGCCCCCACTTGTCCTGGCATGATGCCGTCGGATAAGCACTCGACCGTAAGGTCAGTTTGAGCCACAAGACGGGTGGTTCAAACTCACCAGCTGCTCTCTGGAAACTGGGTAGAACCAACTCGACAACAGGGCATTTGGTTTGGCTTGAACATGAGTGGTTGTCCCACCTGGGGGGGGGGCTAGTTGAGAGCAGGGATGCTACTAACATCTAATGGGCAGGACAGCCCCCTGCAACAAAGAACCAACTACCTCAAAATGTCAACAGTGCTGAAGATTCAGAAACCCCGCCTCAGATTGAGTTTTCTGATCCATGATGATTTAATTAGGACATGTCAGTTCTAAACAGGAAAGCTGCATTACACAGGCAGGGAGCTTGTTCTGGGGAAAATGAGGAGCAGATGGTTACACTGACGTTCTGCTGATTATCAGGGAGAGCTGACACGTGAGGGGTGTCCGAGAGCAGCCACGGTTAGGTGAGACCTTTCTCAGAAGTGAAGGAGCTAGGGGGCAGGATGCTTCCTCTTTATCTTGCCAGCCCCCCTGTGGGTCCTCCTCAGTGTCACTGGTCCCTTGGGCCCTCCATACCTTAAGTCCAGGAAGCAATTATAGGGTAGGAACACGAGGCCCCTGCTACCAGGAAAGTGGGGTGCTCAATGGTGTGGGGTCCTGGAGAAAGTCTTAGAAAGAAGGAGAAAAGAAGTCAGGGGTGTTTGGAGACAGTGGCGAGCTTAGTGGGGAAGGACATAGTGTTTGAGAGAACTGCCCCGTCTGGTGGGATGCGTGCTCCAAGTCAGAGCGGGGTGGGATCAGGGAGGAAAAAAGAGGCAAAGGTTTGAAACCATGGCTGGCTTCTGAAATTTGTTCTCAACTAAGAGGCATTTGTTGAACCTGCACAAGTAGGAGTGACCGGTTGAGGGGGAAGCAAACAGAAATGAGAAGACGCCGCAACTCAAGTGGCTTGGAGTCTCCTGGTTTTGCAGCCTCCCAGATCAACAGTTCTTCATCTGGGGGTCTCCACCAATCTACCAGGAGGCAGGCAGGCTTGGTGAGCAAAGTTAGACAAACACAGCACAACAGTTGCCATCAGGAAGCCCACACTCCCCTTGCCCTCAAGTCGATCCCAACAATGACCCTACAGGGCAGTCTCACGACTCCTTAAGGCCTCCAAGGAAGCAGACCACCACGTCTTCCTCCCACACGGAAGCTGGGGACTTCAAATCACCAACCTCTGGGTTAGCAGCCAAGGGCTTAACCACTGCGCCACCAGGACATCTGGATTCCTGCTTAGTTGTTAAGTGCCTTTGAGTTGATCCTGATTCACAGTGATCCTCTATAGGGTTTCTGAGGAGTGGCTGGTGAGCTTGAACCACTGACCTTGCGGTTCAAACCGACCTTAAGGTCCAGTGCTTATCTTATGGCTCCACACCACAGGTACTATATATGTATTATATTGTATTGTATTGTATTGTATGAGTATCTGGTGTGGCTCTGTAGGATCAGCACTGGACTGTGAACATCAAACTTGGCAGTTCAAACCCACCAGCTGCTCCTTGGAAACCCAATACGGGGTCGCTATAAGTCAAAATCGACTCAACAGCACTTAACAACAACATACATTATATATATTGTTGTTAATGTTAAGTGCCGTCAAGTAGGTTCTGACTCATAACGACCCCGTATAGAGTTTCTGAGAACTGGTTGGTGGGTTTGAACCGCCAACCTTGCTGTGAGCAGTCCAGTGCTTATCCTGCACTAGTGAATGTGAATTGCTCTGTGAAATTCTGCATTAAGGAGCCAGTTTGGGTTTAACTGAGAATTTCCCAAACTGGTTTATTGGGACAGGAATAGGGGTGATGACTGAGCAAATGACAAAAACCTAGGGGAATGGCACACAGTTTGCCACCCCATGTACATGTGGAAAAATGTTGAAATGTCTTATCATCTAGATTTCTGTCACAATTTAAAAAAACTACACGGCACCCAGTTAGGTGTGAGTTTCAGATAAACAATGATTAATTGCAACATAAAAACCTCCTCTGTCTGCCTCTCCCTCCCCGACACCCAGCCCCAAAGCCTCCACCAGCCAAGAAGGCTGACCCTTATTTCCCAGCATGCTTTTCCAAATGTTGCTCAGATGATGCTCTATGACCTCCCGACCCCACTGCTCCCCAGAGACCACCCTTCACCCCTGGCCATGGCCTAACTACTTTGGGCTCTGCTTATACCAGCTGACTTCTCTCCTGAATTTCTGGGTGCACTGCTGTGCTGGGCACTCAAAGATGTCAGAGAAATCATGTTGCCAGAAAACCAAAGGCAGAGAAGGCAACCGCTGTAACTTGTCTTGTAGGTCCTAAAACTGAAAGAATGCAGGACTCAGGATAAAAGAAGGGTGTACTCCCAAGTATGTGTCACCGATAGGCGTTCTAACCCCCTCCCCCTCAGTCCTTCCCAGCATGGTTACTGGGTAAACACAGAGAGCCCAGCTACACATGAATTTCAGATCAGTGAAGAGTGTAAGTTCCATTAGGCACTTTAATGGTACAGTGATTAAGCACTGCGCTGTGAACCAAAAGGTAAGCTGTTTGAACTCACCAACCGCTCCACAGGAGCAAGATGAGGCCCCTGGGAAACCCTGTGGGGCAGTTCTGCTCTGTCCTCTAAGATTGCTGTAAGCAAGAATAGACAGGCAAGAGCAAAAACATGGCAGACAGGTGATGGCTGGAGCAGACGCAGGGATGAGAAACACAGGAAGCTGGCCAGCTGGACATCTCCAGCCCTCCTGTTTCGGCTGCCCTGGGGGACTCCACTTCCCTCTATGACTCGATATCGGAGTCCTTAAGAACAAGTTTGCTGATGAGAGTAAACCCAAGAAAACCAAAGCCTTCGCCAGTGAGTAGCTTGTGCTGTCTGGCAACCCCATGTGTTACAGAGGAGATTGTTGGCCACTATCTTTAAAGGGAGCAGTTCTTCAAGGATTTCTTCTTGGGAGCCATTGGGTGTGTTTGAACTGCCAGCCTTTTGGTTAACAACCCCTTGCATGGTCTCCCTGCTGCCAACTCACCGTGGTCCTCAAAGACAGAGCACACCTGCTTCATATTGTTTCTATGGTTGTAAATATTTATGGAATCAGATTGTCTCATCTTTCTTCCGCAAAGCACTTGGTGGGTTCTAGTCACCCACCTTTTCATTAGCATCCCGATGGTCAACCCGCTGTACCACTGGAGCTCCTGGACCTTGGTCACAGCACCTAGTATTTACTGAGGACTTTCTTGGGTCGGGCCTTTTCTGCTGTTGTTTTCTCTGTCTTCCTCTCCTGCTCTCCCCTTCGCTCCAGCCTCACTGGCCACTTTGCTGCTCCTGGAAAATGCCAGGCAGCCTCCTGCCTCAGGATCTTTGCACTTGCAACTCTTGATGCTTCTCCCCCTCCCTCACCCCCACCTTCCTTCAATACTTTCCTGGCTCACGCCTTCATCCCCACTCCCATCTTCGCTCAAACGTCTCTTCCTTGGAGACTTTGCCCACTGTCCTTTTCCTCGGAAGCACTTCTCGCTGTGTGACGGTATCAACATTTGACTTCTTTGCTTCTTGGCTGTCCTCCCCTGAAGAATGTAACTTCCAGGAGGGTCAGAATCCCTTGTGTTTTGTTAAGTGCTAAATCCTAGCACCTGGTACTTGTGGCCAAGGTTTGTAAAATGACTGAACTCTCCAAACTTTTCCTTACACAGACCTCATCACCCCATTTTACGGGTGAGGGGAGTGAGGGTCAGTCTGTGCAGGCTTGGTACCAAAGCAGCGTGTCTGGTGGTGGGTGGGTTGCCATGGGGTCTGGGTGGTCAGTTTCTTCTCTGGAGGGTCGTGGTCTGGTTGGGGATGAGAAATGCTCTCAGTGTCCTGGGTCTTAGTGACTGCCTTTGTCTCTGTTTCCTCAGGATGCGACGCTGAGACTGTCCCCGTCCCTGATGGCCCTAGCAGTGACCCAGTGGAAGGACACCCTTTCCGCCCCCCATCACACTCCATCTCCGCCGTCTTTGATGAAGACAAGCCCATCGCCAGCAGCGGCACATACAACCTAGACTTTGACAACATTGAGCTGGTGGACAATTTCCAGACCCCGGAACCCCGCTGCTCAGACCCCAAGGATCAGGAATGCAAAGTGAATGGGCGGAGAAAGTCCACAGACTCTGTCCCAGTCTGTAAGTCCACCTTATCCCGCTCGCTCAGCCTGCAGGCGGGTGACTTTGATGGTGCTTCCTGCTTGGGCAGTCCCGAGGCTACAGCACTCACCACCGATGCACACGGTTCAGGCTCAAACAGTGCTTCTAGTACCCTTAAACGAACTAAAAAACCGAGGCTGCCTTCCCTAAAAAAGAAACAGACCACTAAGAAACCCACAGAAACCCCCCCAGTGAGGGAGACACAACAGGAACCAGCCGAAGAGAGTCTCATCCCCCGCGAAGAGGATCCCGCATCCGAGACAAACACGGAGCCAGCCAAGGTGGAAGATTCTGGGACAGCCTTAGCGGAGGAGAGTCCCCTAGAAACTGCTGCTGTGCCCCAAGCTGCCTGCCCCCTGGACTCAGAAAGTGCTGAGGGGGCCGTCCCCCAAGCTTTGGGAGGCGGCAGAGTCCAGAACTCACCCCCGGTTGGAAGGAAAGCATTGTCTTCTGCTGCAGCCCCCGAGGCTGTGGAGGTGACCCCATCAGACAGTGGGGGACAGGAAGACTCCCCAGCCACAGGGCTCCCTGTGAGGTTGGAGTTTGACTATTCGGAGGACAAGGGTGGTTGGGACAACGAGCAGGGAACTCCCCCTCCTATCAAAAAGATAGGCAAAAAGCCAGTTGCCAAAATGCCCCTAAGGAGGCCAAAGATGAAAAAAACACCTGAGAAACTCAGCAACACTCCTGCCTCACCTACCAGGTCCCCTGCTGAGCCCAATGACATCCCCATTGCAAAAGGTACCTACACCTTTGATATTGACAAGTGGGATGACCCCAACTTTAACCCTTTTTCTTCCACTTCAAAAATGCAGGAATCTCCCAAACTGCCCCAACAATCCTACAGCTTTGACCCCAACACCTGTGACGAGTCCACTGATCCCTTTAAGACATCCTCTAAGACCCCTAGCTCACCTTCTAAGTCCCCAGCCTCCTTTGAGATCCCGGCCAGTGCCATGGACGCCAATGGAGTGGAAGGGGATGGGCTCAACAAGCCCGCCAAGAAAAAGAAGACGCCCCTCAAGACGTAAGTTCAGGGGTGGAGTTGGTGAGGACCGGAGGCGGGTGTACGTTGGCTGTGATTCTTGGTCACATACCTGGATAAGCTTCAGCTGTTCTCACGTCTTTGCCCGTTCGCTGTCGCGCCCCCTATGTCTGTGGCCCTCTCAACAGGCAGGCCTCTCTGCCACAGCGGTGGCATTTTCCCTTAATATGCCTCTGTCATCTAGAAGCCTTCATCTCCTGCCTTAGTGAGTCAGTGGTTCAAAGCTTTACTGACGTTCAGCTACAAGGGCATCCAGGAGCTCTCTTAGAAAGAAAACAGTCTTTTGAAGACCTGGTTAACCTCCCTATTGACGACTTCACCTTTCGCCCTGCTTGACATGTGACTTGATATTTGAAGTGGCCTGTTGTTGTTAAGTGCCGTGCCGTTGAGTCAATTCTGGCTTAAAGCGACTCTGTATAGGGTTTCTGAGGAGCAACAGGTGAGTGTGAGCTGTCTACCTTTCGGTTCAAACTGACCTCGCAGTCCAGCTCATTAACCCACAGTGCCACACCAGGACTCATCGAAGTGGCCTGGAACCTTTAAAAATATTATTAATTTTTGTGATATTTGCTTCTGCCTGAGATGGAGTCATGGTGTAGTGCTGAGGGTTAATGAGCTGGACTGCAAAATCAGTTTGAACTGCAAGGTCAACAGTTCAAGCTCACCGGCTGATGCTCCTCGGAAACCCTGTACAAGATCACTGTGAGTTGGAGCTGACTCAACAGCCCTAACGTTAGTGAGCTTTTAGCCCAGGAGGCAAGGACGCCAGGCTCCATGAGTGAGGGATTCCTCCCTGAACCCCAGTCAGCCCATGAGCACGACCCATTTTTGTCCCCACCCCTTTTGTAGCCATCTTACAGGTCAGAGTTGAGAGACAACAATGGAACCCAAACTGGAGAAGCAATGCTGACAGCCTCAGGAGGACCCTCACCCTAAATGCCTCTGTTACCCACACACTTACTTGCCAGTTTGTTGTTGTTGTTAAGTGCCGTTGAGTCGATTCCAACCCATAGTGATCCTGTATAGGTTTCCAAGGAGTAGTGGGTGAGCTTGAACCGCCAACCTTGCAGTTCAAACAGCTTTGCAGTCTGGCGCATTAACCCACAGCACCACACCAGGACTCCTACTTGCCAGTTGTTGTTGTTGTTAAGTGCCGTCCAGTCGATTCTGACCCATAGCAACCCTGTATTGGGTTTCCAAGGAGCAGCTGGTGAGCTTGAACCGCTGACCTTGCTATTCAAATGGCTTTGCAGTCTGACGCATTAACCCACAGCACCACACAGATCATCCTTAATCCGTGCTTTTGCCCAGGCTTTCAGAATTCACTTGAACTTGAGGGTTGCAGGGCCATGCTTTGAACTCTGCACCGAGCTTGGAGACTTCCTCCTTGCTCTTCTACACCAAGTTCACTAGATCTCAGCTGCTGGCCCCAAGTAACGTGAGCTGTTTATGTCCCATTCTGAGCTGCCCCAAGCATTGCACACCTGATGAGGACGGACACTTCCAAAGAAGACTTTGGCTGTGAGTCAGTTTGTCTGGGAGGGAGGCAGTCCTAGTCCTGATAAATAATGAGGGCTTCTTTGAGATCATCTTCCCCATCAGACTCTTCTTAGAGGTGCCATAGAATCTGTGTTGGAAGCTTTATTGTAAGTTTCAAATAGGAGAAATCTGAAATGCATAGTCCACAAAGCCATCTGCTCTTATCTTAAAGGCGTTCTTGTGACACGATGGTTAATCGCTCAGCTGCTAACTAAAAGGCTTCCGTAAAGATGACAGCCTAGGAAGCCTTTTGGGGCAGTTCTGCTCTTGTCACATGAGATTTCCATGAGCCAGACTAGAATCGACTTTACAGCCCTCAACAACAACAATGGTTTTTAAATGAAAGCCAACTGAAGCCCCCACCTCCTCCTGGTGTATTCTTCCCCCATCCATGTTCACGTTTGACTGATGAGCTAACAGATGTCAGGGAGGCAAATCCATCTTACAGTCCCATCTCAAGTGCACATGGAGGTCTTTCTACAGTGGGTGAGAAAACCCCTGGGGGACCTACCATTGGAGCCCCGAGAGGAAAGTCTTCGCAGACAACCCTCCCCGCAGACTGCGCTGTTGCGCACACTCCCTGCAAACCCCCAGAGATGCCTGGGGTACCCTAACCCATGAATAACCACTTGTTTGCAGAGTTGCCTTTTTTGTCAGTTCCTTCTGTCTGTCTCTCTTTTTCTTTGTCTTCCTGTCTTAGGATGGTTGAAGATGTGATGTCTGTGTGTTCTCTGTTGTAAGTACATTTAATGGAATCTGCCTTTTATGTCAAACATGCTTTTCCTACCTTTGGTTATCCCCCTGCCTCCCCCCACCCCCTCAAGCTTTTTATTGGCTCCCTGTGGCTGCTTCTTACATATTTCTGTGACGGGGCAGGGCGTGATGGGGCACGGGGCTTCATACCCCGTACATCATGATTAGCATTGAGTGAAACTGCTTGGCTGTAAAAACGTGATTGTCCAACATCTGTCTGCTTGTCAGGAATGGAGTTTTTTTCCCCCCTTTCCTATTGGATGTCTTCATCTGAAACTCATGTATATATATATATGTATGTATGTGGTGTATGTGTGTGTGTATATATATATACACACACATACATATACACATATATATGTATATGTATGTATATTTTTAATTGCTCATCCCATTCTTTTATGGCATATATATATATATAAATTATTTTTGTATATGTATGTATGTTTTTACATATATATATGTATGCATATTTTTAACTGCTCATCCCATTCTTTTACAGTTCATTGGGCTCACAGTAGTACTGTGACTTCACAGTAAAAGAATCATCCAGTCCAGCCTCAGGCAGTGACCACTGTGGCTTGCTCTTGGGCTGTTCCAAATTGCAGCCTGAAACAGAGTCCCTTCAGTGTGGCCCATGTTGTTGGAAGTGGGGCACATGGCTATTGGAGCCCTCATCCTTGTCCCAGGGGCCTGACTGGGAACCACCATGCCTCATCTGCCATGTGTGTGGTGCTTTGTGGGCATCAGTGAGACCAAGCTCTGTGTCTCCCTTGGCCAGGAGGGGTCTTGTGGGCAACCCCCATGGGTAGGGTTGCATCTTTCTGTCTCTCTTCTGCCCAAGGGCTTTTTTAAAAAAAGCATTTTAGAGACATTACTAACTCTAAATGTACATTATATATTTATACACATGAATAAGTATACGACTCAAGCTGTGTTTTTACGGCAAAGGGCCATCAATGTGAACATTACAATTTCTAGTATGTTTTTCATGACTAAATGCCATTGTTGGAACATCCTGTTAGAGAAATCACGTGGAAGGAACTCAAGGACCACAGTGTAAAGCAGTGTGTAGACAAAGCCTTGCTGGCACTCCAGAGGGGCAAGAAGGTGTCTTCTGAAGCTGTGCACACGTCTCCTCAATTCACTGATGGGGACTGTATGAAGGAGATGCCAAAAACTTGGAGCAAAATGGAATTAAAAGATAACGGAAATTTTTTTCACAAACCTTTTGAAGACCCCTTGTTGCTGGAAGTTATCCCTTCCTTCTGGGAATTTGCCATTCCCTCCTTTAGGACCCCTTCAGAAGTCTGATCTCCCAGCCCTTTGCTTGCCCGCCCCCAGCTGTTTATATGAAAGAGAAAGGAAAGGAGACAATTCTCACCTTTGTCTGTTGACCCTGGTCAGGAAAAGACATTCGAAACCACCTGGTCTCCTGTGCTACCTGTGTTCACAATCCCACCTAGAAGTCTAGAGTCAGGCCTCTCTGAAGCCTTAACAAAGTCCTCTAAGAATATTCTGTTTCTCACCAGGGTTTTCTCAGTGGCATTCATGAACTGCCGTGTCGTTTGCCCATCTATAAATCAGATACTGCAAATTGATGTCATGGGCCTAGGTCTCTCGGCCCCCACCCAACCCTTAACTTGAGTTGGTTCAGACATTCCTTGACAAATCCAGATAAATGAATCCACTCATCCAGAATTTACTTTTTTAAAAGTAAGAACATCTGGTTACGTTTAGCTTCATTTTCTAGGTCAGTTCTCTAAAATGGCGTCATTTGAAAGGCTTCCAGCTCGATTCTTCTTCCCTTTGGGGGTAAAATAATATCTGTTCACACGTCAGACTGCCTTGTGGGCAAGGACATGGTTTGGTTGGTGCTAGGATGGTGGGTAGACCAGGGGATCACAGGGCAGCAGCGGCCTCGGCTTCAGTCGGCCCTGTGTTGTGTTGCTTTGACGTTTTCTCGACCTCTGTTTGTTGTGTTTACATTTTCCATTTTGTTTCCAGTGACACATTTAGGGTGAAAAAGTCGCCAAAACGGTCTCCTCTCTCTGACCCACCTTCTCAGGTATCATGTTCTTTGCACTTTATGATTTCGGGGTGTCCCCAGGGAGAAATTGGAGGTTAACACTGCTGTGTCTTGGTTCCCACTAACAAGCCCAGCTCTCCTGTCTGCAAATTGCAGACACACTTCTGAGACCCTCTTTTCACGTCCTTCCCTCGGCTTTTGCAGGACATTGCTCTGACCTCTTCACTCAGGGGAGGAGCAGAATGTGTCCCAAGGAGTAGAAGAAAGTCAGGAAAATGCTCGTTGGATGTTATGGAAACCAGTCTGGTCTATTCTGGCCAATTAATCTGCTAAGAATGATATAAATATCATGTTGAGAAAGTGTATATTGAGACAAACAAATGGAGAATGAGAAAACAAAAGGAAAACTGTGTGCAGAGCTGAGGTTGGGTGTGGGCGATCACAGTGGAAGTGGGGACGTGGGGAACCCTTCCCCTGAACTATGATCTGGGGCTCTTTATTTGTATGTGGGTCCCCATCTCCCTCTTAGTAGTTTTTCTACCAAATCCAGACCATTTATACTGCGCTGTCTTCAGATAAGGAAGGCCCTCCTCAAGCATGTAGGCCAAGACATCCAGATCATCAAATAAGCAACCGCTGTGTTCCCCCACTCCAAGGAAGCCAGCATGGGCTAGCCTGGGCGGGGGCTATGGATCCAGGAGCCCTGTGCTAGGAGATGGAAGCTTGGGTCCCAATCTCAGCTCTTACCTTCTCACATCTGGGCTCCTAGCCTCCCTTTCCTCAGCTCCCCTCAAGGCCAGGTGAAGGACTGTAGTAAGAGATCCTGGGGATATTGACACACATGCCATCTCCATACCATCAGTAAGCAGAATACAGATGTTGTTGTTGTGAAGTGCCGCTGAGTTGGTTCCAACTCATAGCAACCCTGTATAGGAGCAGCTGGTGAGCTTGAACCTCTGTCCTTGCAGTTCAAATGGCTTTTCAGTGTGGCACATTAACCCACAGCACCACACCAGGACTCCACAGTGGTGGTAGTAATAAAAAAATCCCCAAGTCAGTATTTCCTTCCTTTTCTCAAAGTGAATAAGAGAGAATGTGTCAAAGAATCAGGACATAAAACCCTTATTTTCTTTTATACCCATGCATCTCCCTCCCCCTGAACCGAAGAAAAAGGAATTGATAAGAGAGAATTTGTTCCCTTGAGGGACTATTGAGGACGAGGAGAACATGAATGGATATATGACCCACCACGACCTCTCCATGAGAATGGGTCTGGATTCTGGGGTGGGTGGGCTTCTGACAGGGAGATGGGGGTCAGGAGAGACTGCTTCTTCCCCTTTCCATGCAGGACCCCACTCCAGCGGTGACCCCAGAAAGCCCACCAGTGATCTCAGCGGTGGTCCACGCAACTGATGAGGAGAAGCTGGCGGTCACCAGCCAGAAGTGGGCATGCATGACTGTGGACTTGGAGGCAGATAAGCAGGACTACCCACAGCCCTCGGACCTGTCCACCTTTGTCAACGAGACCAAGTTCAGTTCACCCACGGAGGGTAAGCAACTCGTTGGCCAGCTGGAACCCCAGCCTGCCCTGGAGAGCAGTGTCTCTAGGGAGCAGAAGGCCAGGAGAGACACTCCCAAGCCAGGTAACCCTGTTCTCACTGCTGTTACCCAAAGCACAAGAAGCTAAGGCTGCCTTTTAGAACCCTGCGAGCTGAGCCCACGCCCTGCTTACAGCCCTCACAGCCCCCTCTAGTAACAGGGCTTGGCCACTCACTTGAGCTTTGCTTGTTCCTTCTTGTCGGTGTGGCTTACATTCCTTTGTGTTTTGAAAATTAGAGCTCCAAGGGAACACCATTCAATTTAGATTTTCAATGTAGGTCAAGCCACCTGGGGGGGTCTCTTGGTAAGCCTTATTGTTGAGATCAGGGTTCACTGTAGGCTCAGTAATGAGGGTGTTTGTCTTTCCTCTGGAATGAGTCCCCAAGGTTTTGAGGATTTCATCTATTTCATCCTTTTTCTTAGCATTGATTCGGTTTCAGTTCTCTGGTCTCTGTATTTCCTTTCTTGTTTGGGAAGCCATTAAGAGTGCAGCTAGATAAAGAGGATAGAGAGAAACACTGTAAACTGATGATATATGGAGGGGATAATAATCAGTGTAATGAAACAAGCTATATGAATGGTTGAATGTGAAGCTGATGATGTGCCCTGTAAACTTTCACTCAATCCAAAATAAAAACATTTAATAAAAAAAAAAAAGAGTGCAGCTAGAGCCCTCCTTAGGAGGTGTTAGTCCGTCTTCCCTCATTCAGTGGTATTCAGTGTTCCCATACACACAGTAGTAGGGAAACAGGAAGTACACACAGTAGTAGGGAAGCAGAAAGTATACACAGCTGCTAACCAAAAGGTTGGAAGTTCAAGCCCACCCAGTAGCTCCACGGGAGAAAGACCTGGCATCGGCTTCTGTGAACATCACAACCAAGATCACCGCCATAGTCAAAAAGTGGAAACACCCTAATGCCCACCACCAGATGAACAGATGAGTAAAATGCGGTCTAGCTAACCAGTGGAACAGTAACTCTGCCAACTGGAGAAATGAAGTCTTGATACGTGCTACTTCTATATGGAGGGAGCTGGAAGAGACATTCGGCTGAGTGGGATAAGCCCACCACCAAGGGACAAATATTACATGGCCTCACAAGAAAAGGCTATAGAGCCCATTGTTTATTAGTGGTTGGTAGCGTAGTGGTTATAAATCGGGCTGCGAACCAGAGGTCAGCAGTTCGAAACTACCAGCTGTTCCATGGGAGAAAGTGAGGCTTTCTGCTCCTGTAAAGATTTACAGCCTCAGAAACCCTGTACAGGGTCGCTATGAGTCGGTTCTGACTCCACGGCACATAACCACCACCACCACCAATGTGGAGCAGGGTGGGGTGGGAGGAGTTTGTATATGGCGCACTGAGTTTTGATTTATGGTGATAGCTGAAGCTGTTTTTGTGCCATCAAACACTGCAGTGGAGAAATTGGTTTCTTGATTTTGGAGGTTTAGAGTCATGGTTTCATGGGACATCCAGCTAATTGCCCTAATAATATTGCAGTGCATCGGTTCCACCTCTTAGTTCATTGTACAGTGCCTAGGGTCTTTACAGCTTGCTGATGGTCATCCAAAGGACAACCATTGGTCTCCATTCTCCTAGAACAACAAGGGAAGAAGGAGAAGACTGTGGAATGTGTGCTAATTGCCTCCAGGGATAACTGGGAGGGTGCCCAGGTGCCACTACTGAACATTTTGATCAAATGTTCTGTAGAAGAATTCTGATCAAAATAGAGGAAGATGCAAAACAGACTTTCAAATTCTCATGGACTCCAGATTGAAACCACTACCCTGAGATACTCTTTAAACCTAAACCTAAATTACCCTCGTAGTCTTCTTAAAAACCAAACAATAGTTTACTTTGGCTAATAATAAATCTCTGCCTCAATCATTATGCTCTTTAAGAACTGTCTATATGTGATCAAAATGACAACAGCAGCTCAGACGATTAGGTAGGAACCTTGTTGTTGTTGTTGTTAAGCGCCTTCGAGTCAGTTCTGACCCATAGTGACCCTGTATAGGGTTTCCGAGGACTTTGAACTGCCGACTTTGAGGTTCAAATGGACTTTTCAGTCCAGCGCATTAGCTCACAGCACCACACCAGGAGGCACTGAATTTATGGTATTGGGGAGGAAGAACTCAGAAAAGCCGAGTTAGACTTGTTCCACATCCTGAAGATGATAATCGGTACCGCTAAGGTACACATGTAGAAACTGGTGTCTCTTTTCCTGTGTATATTCTCCACAACAGCAAAAGAAATATGTTTTAAAGCAACAATCAAAACTCCTTGGGACAGTTCCACTCTGTCCCATGGGGTCACTTATGAGTCAGAATTTATTTGATAGCATCCAACAACATTATATGTATACAGGCCACTCACTAGGTCCATGTCATATCTGGCAATTGTTTGTTTTCTACAAAAATCCAACACATTGGTAAATAAAGTACGCTTGGAACAAAGCTCTGTTAGGCCTGTCTCCTGAGAAAATAATTGTGGCCGTTTGGGAAGTTACGATGGTAATTACAACTGACGGGTGATCCAAAACGCTGCTTCGGAAGAGTTGCAGTTTTATGAGGTGCTCTTCCAGTCCCCGGATGCCTCCTGGTCCCCTCCAGCCCCCATGTGAAACTGGATACAGACCCTCCTTCCTGTGTGTGACCTTAACGAGGCCAAGTTCAGCAACAGCAGGGACGCACCCAGGGTTGCTGGAGTCAGATGGAGTGTTTCTTACACTAAAGTCACAAACTGCAGAAAACCGGCAACATCGAGCTAGGAATGATAATACCATGCGTTACTATGATAATAATAGGAAAGTGGGCGCTGTCGATGGCTGGATGTGCACTCTTGAGCTAGGTGCTCCGCGGTGTTTTCCACACTCTTTCTTTCCATCCTCTGGCTCAGTAGAGAGGATGTCTCCAGTTCCACCCACTAGAAATGAGGCTTCGAGCCTTGCAGTTCATGCCCAGTGCCATGTGGCTAATCTACAAGAACCAGATCTGTCAGTCTAACTCTACCAGATGTCCGACAGCCACCCTTCTGCCCAATTGGTGTTTACATGGACACCAGACAGGCTTCATTTCCTCATCTGTAAATTGAGACTTGGCTCTGGACTAAAAGCCACAAGGTCGGCAGTTTGAACCCACCAATCACCCCACAAAGATTTTACAGCCTCGGAAACCCCATACAGGGTCAGTGTGAGTCGGAAGCAAATCAACGGCACTTAACAACAACAACAAAGTGTGACTGTTGAGGCCAATCAACGCTTCTCACCCTGGATCCACCAAAGCAGAGAGAAAGAGCTTCAAGTTGTCGTTAGTATTTCAAAACATAAGGAGCTCTGGTAGCGTAGTGGTTACGAATCGGGCTGC